ATTGCCCAATTCTATTTGTCGGCAGAATCGACATTCGGTTGTTAGTTTACCGTCGATGCGGAAAGACGCGATCCGCTTCATTTATCGTCGGCAGCATTACGTTGGTCACCTAGCTTCCAACTGTCTATCGGTACACCGAATTCCTCAAGGGCGCACGCCGTTGCCATTTCAAACGTGTCTTGCAGGTAGTCGTGCGTGGAGCGACCATCAGCATATCGAAAGACATAAAAGCCGACGCCCGGTTCAGGCACAATTTCGTAACGAGCGTGAGCGTGGTAAGCGACGTGTGAAGGGGTGTGCTTCATGTGACAAGTAATCGTAGAGTGGGTGAAGCAATCTTTTGCGTTTAATCGATGGGTTACGTTCTCGGTATTCTTGAAATGAAAGCTGTGCTAACAAAAGCAGCCAACTGCGTAACCCACCTTTCACTTGGATCAACGAACTCCACCCACCCTTATAGTTCTCCCGGGGTGACTTGTGAGGTCGCTGGGAGCGGGAGTGGGATTTTCAATTTCTCCCGACGCACGCGACAGCGCCGCTACCGAACAATCGCGATGATTCTTGATTTGGGATCGACCGCACGTCGCGTTGTCTGAGAGTATGAGCAGTTGCAGCACGCATCGCTCTGCCACGAATTTCCCACCCGATCGCGACAACGATTGATCGTAGAGCTTCGGACACAGCGATGCCTTTGAAACTTCTTCACGAAGCCTTCGTTCCCAATTGCCTCACTCAACGTCTGCACCGCCGCCGTCGCTTCATGAGCGTTTCAGAGCGAAAACGAATCACTCCAGATGATGCCGCACAGACGACTCATTCTATAAGGTTTTCGAGCGTTTCAAAGTTGCGTGCTCAACTTCACAATCACAAGTTTAACCAGCGGTGAACAACATGCCAGAGCAAAACTCCTCGCAACCCATTCTCTTCATCGGAATTGACTGGGCCGACCAGGAACATGTTGCCTGTCTGCTTGAGGAGAACGGCAACACTCAGGTGATTGAATCGTTCCAGCCAAGACCCGGATGAGATCGCAAACTGGGTTGCTTCCTTGAAAGAAAGATTTCCTCAACACCGGTTGCTGATCGCACTCGACAGGGTGACAGGGTGGCAGGGTCAGGAGCGATCAGCGTATGGCCCTGAATTGGACGTCCATTTTCTGGGACATCCGCTCCGCTACTGTCCCAGCCACCCGTCGAACTGCGCAGAAAGCTTGTCGAAGAGAGAAAACAAGTTGTTTTACCTCTGAACAGCTCGCTGAAAGGGTACTTCCCATTGGTCTTGCAGCTTTCCAAACGGGAACTGCACAACGAGTTGATCATCGATTTATTGCGACGCTGGCCGACGTTGAAGAAACTGAAGAGAGTGCATCCTGATACGCTGCGAAAGTTCCTTTCCGAACATGGCATGAAAAACGACAGCCAGCAAACGGAGTTCATCAACGCCGTTCGGGCAGCGACTCCGTTGACCAAAGATGACGCATTGATCGAACCGCGGGCAATGTACGTCAAATCATTGGCTCAACAGATTCGTGATCTTAACAAATCGATTGCTGAGTTCGATGATGAGTTGCAAAGGTTGACGGCTCAGCATCCCGATCAGGAGTTGTTTCGTTCACTGCCAGGAGCTGGTGACGCCCTGGTTCCGAGATTGATCGCTGCCTTTGGTTCGGATCGTGAGAAATACACTTCAGCCCAACAGTTGCAGAACTACAGCGGCATCGCTCCGATCACTCAACAGAGTGGGAAAAGCAAGCAGGTCCACAAGCGTCTGGCCTGTCCGAAGTTCTTGCGGCAAACGTTTCACAGGTCGAACCGTTCGCCGGTGAGCAGCTCAACTTTGCGCCGACCATGCGAGAAAATGGTCCAACTGGTCCAAAGCGTTCTACAAGATGAAACGCGAAGCTGGAATGAAACACCACGCTGCGGTCAGGACCTTAGCCTACAAATGGATCAGGATTATCTTCCGCATGTGGCAAACGAAAACCAGCTACAACGAAGCCCAATACGTCCAACAACTTAAACGAAACAACAGCCCCATCCTCCAATTCCTCGAATCATGAGAAAACCAATGAAAACCACTTTACAAAAACCTCAGATGTCTACGTTTACTCTCTCGTGTTTCTGGTGCCCGTAAATGAGGCGTTTCATATGTTGAAAAGCTTCTTTCCACGAGGCAGAACTTGAACGTCATTCTAAACTACTGTAGTTCTCGTTCGATAGCGGCTACAAAGTAACTCTGGACTCGTTAACAGTGCGGCTTCAGCGGGACTGATGGCTTTCACATGGAGCCACCAGTTCCTGATTTACTTAACTTGGGGGTGAGCCTTATTGAAACGCAATAGTTCAAGTTCAGCATTGATTCGCATTTCCGACGCATTGAAGAATCCTAATTTCGTTTCAAAATGGTCGAACCGCTTCATGCTATATTGCTCGAGTATGCGGGTTGCTACTACCTTGTCTACTAGGATAATTCGTCTCGTCGGGAGGTCTTTGTGGAAATCGAATCTCGCATCACAGAGTTTGCTGACGATGACGTATCTGTCACTTGGCAAACTCATGCCTTTATTTGCTCTCACATTTGCAACATCTAACATGACATACAAATTATTGATGCGTTGCTTCATTAAACGAGTCTCTGCGTCATCTTCTGCCTTAATTTGGTAAGGCTCTGGTGCAAAATCTCCTTGGAGAATTTCTTCGTGAGCTGCTTTAAAGAGATCCTTGGGTAAAGCTCGTGAAACCAGCCTGTCTGTACCTTCCCAATCTGCGTTGGTGATTGCTTCAATATAATAATCTGGAAGTCGCATCTCGGTTGGAGCATGTGCGGCTTCTTCCTGCCCTGGCACAGTTTTGCAACACACAAGTCCGCAGCACACCAATAGCCCGAGTAAATATTGTTTGCTCATCTCTAAAATTATCCTTGACGATCTGATTCTCTGATGATTCACTTAAGCCGATATGATTTTCGATCGATTACCCCTTGCTGTGGGTATGAAAAGCTATTCCTGCGGTCGCTCCAGATCGTCAATCTTGTTTCGAAATTCGTGGGCGACCAGTGTTTCCGGCCAATTGTCGATGAATTTTTGATACCACTTGATGGCTTCGGATCTGTTCTGATCGCTCGCCGATGTCTCTCCTTCTTGGACGAATTTGTGCGCCATTTCACGGTAGATTTTTGACTTCTCTAAGGCCAATCGTTCGGCCGGGTCGAGTTCGGAGACAATGTGATCCATTTTTTCACGAAAAATTGATCTCGCCCCAGTTCCGAAAGCCCTCAATTTCAGGTTCCCTCCAAACAGACGATTGCCCAGCCAGCCGTTCTTCTCTTCAAACAGGTTCATGTCCAACTCGACCCAGCGAAACGGAAACTCCTTGGCATCTTCTGAAATATAGATGTCGTATCCGAGCGTCGTTGGCGGGACGTTATTTCCCTTTGCGATTGAAACTGGACGACCAGGGCGAACTAGCAGGCAGGAAAGATCACCCTGTTCGGGGATCGATCTCACTTTGTTAGGAAGGAAGTGTCTGCGAAGAAGTCCATCGGTCAGAGCGTAAGAGACATGTTCTCGGATATCGAAAGGCAAAAAGTTTGGTGTAAGACGTGCGCCGAACAACAGTGAAATCACATTGCGAATCGGAACTCTCACAGGGACCTTATCACCGTGTAAACGTTTCATGCGGTCTTCGCCGTCTTGTTCTTCTGGTACAAAACGTACGTAAACTGGTTGTCCGTTACCGACACGTAGTTGCGTCGCTGCGAGGAATTGACGTTGAGCTTCGTCCTGAAAGAATTCGAATTTCCTTTCTTCGTGATATCGCTTCTCGTTCAATAATAACCTAGCGGTTTCAGTGATTCGCGATTGAGACAAACTTCCTCCCGTTTGAACATCAACTTCAATCCAGCGATAAGGGGTATTGTCGATGATCTCCTGATTCAGAACTCTGACTTCGACTCGGTTCAGTTTGATGCTTTGTGTTTTGTTGCCAGCCGGAATTGCGAGATTCGCTTCGTAACGACACCATGCTCCCTCTTCGCTGGGCAGACTGATATATGCAAAGTTTTCGTATGGAATCGGGTCCTGAGCTTCTGGCGTCCAGTCAGGGGCTGGCAACTCTGCGAGGTTTTCTCCTTCTCTTAAGCCGCCCCAGTCCCGTTGTAGACGAGCCTCGAAGATCTGCTTGTTAAGTTGCTGGTAATTCAGTGTCACCGAGCCCCATGTGAAGGGGACTTCTTTAGAATCCCAGCATAATTGCATTTCATAATCGACAGGCAATTCTTCAGATGTCTCCTTTGTTCTGACGGTATGAAAGGGCAAGTCACCACTTGGAGGGACGATGTCAAGTTCTTGGTCCTTGAATCGTCGTTCCGCTTCAAGGTCGAGATGCATTCGTCGAAATATCCCTTCGGTGGTCTTCACGTCAGCGTTGTAAAGAAACGCCAGGATATCCTGGATCGAAAGCCGCTCTTTGGGCAGATCAACACCTTCAATTGCGTAGCGATGGGAGAGAGGATCTGTGTCGGGATCCTGAACATACTTCTCGAAAATCTGATCACGTGGAGCCATCAACCACCCCTCATTCACGACGAACTCACCGTGATCACGATAGGCATCGACATCGACCAACAAGCTGGCTTGTTCAAGATGATGGCTATTTAAAGTTGTCACCTCGAATTCGAGAATCTGATGCTTTCGGCCTGCGATGATTTGCTCATCAACGCATCTCATGTAGATTTTGAAGTGCAAAGCATTATCTCGCTGTAGCCTTGCGTGCCACAGGCGGCCTGTCAGTTTTGTCCATCCTCCCAGCGGAACTGGCAATTGAACTCGCAGGTCCTTTGAATTGAATTCAGTATCGCTGACGACGATTTCCGCTTCCTGCATTTCCTGTCCGACATCATCGGCTTCGTCAACAGCCTCCGGTTGACGAACCGCCTCTTGACCTCCGAGTTCTGAGACTGGAGACGCAGGCCTGTAACCGGACTTCGCAGTTACTCGATTGAAGGTCCCCTGAGGTTGATCCCGAAATAAGAGCAGCCAGCAGAGGGCGATGGCAACAAATGGAAGCAGGAGAGCAAATCGCTTTTGACCAACGCTTAAGTTGTCAACGCATGACCTGAGTTGCTGAATTAGATTGGTTGACGCTCGCTGCTCGGACTGATCGATGACTCCGCCAGCAGTTGTGATGTTTGCGTGAACAGCACAAGCAACCCCAATTCCGTGAAGCGCAGTCTCAAATTCTTCCATCGTTTGAAATCGATCTTTTGCTTGCTTCGCAATCGCCTTCAGGCAGACTTCATCGATTTCCCTACTCAACTCGGGCTGATAGTGGGACGGCGGCGGCTCATTTTCGAGAATTCTACGCAGTAGCGTCAACGGCGACGAAGCCTCAAACGGAAGGTGACCGGTCAATAGTTCGTAGAAAATGATACCAAGACTGTAGATGTCGGTTCTTAAGTCGACATCTGACTGGCTCTCAATCTGCTCAGGGGACGCGTAGGCTGGTGTTCCAACAATAGCTCCAGTTGCTGTAATACGAAATTGTTCAGCGACATCAGTCATGGCAAGTCCAAAATCAACGACGACCGGTTCTTCTCTACCATTTAATATAATGTTAGAAGGCTTGAGGTCTCGATGAATAACCCCTTTGGTATGGGCTTCTGCCAATGCCTGAGCGATTTTTTTCACAAGTCTGATAGTCTCAACTGGGGACATCGCTTTATTCTGCTTATGGTGTTCTGCGAGCGATGGACCATCGATGTATGCCATGGTCAAATAGAGGATGCCGTCAATTTCACCGATGTCATAGACGGGGCAGAGATGCGGATGAATGATTCGGGCGGCAGCTTGTGCCTCTCGTCGAAACCGACTCAATATTGCAGAATCGTTTTCCTTAGGAACTCTAGGGACTTTGAGTGCAATTTGCCGATCCAGTGATTGATCTTCAGCAAGGTACACGTTGCCCATCCCGCCTGAGCCCAAACGTTTGAGGATTCGGTACCTGCCAAATTTGACTGGCAAGTCCCTCGGGGGAGCGGCATCCAGCTGTGAGAATTTCATTTGCTGGAAGCATTCCCATATCACCTCTTGGAATTTTGGGAAACAATCAAGGTAATCCCTGATCAAAACCTGCTCAGCTCGCTGACGCGAGTACCACAATTGAAGAGTTAGTAATTCGCGAAAGACCTCTTCCTGGATGTCTTCGGTGCAATCCTCCAAGTAGAGTTCCATCCTGGGCACTGCTCCCGATTTTAATTCGTTTTCGAAGCGGGTGCAGATACGGTCGATGTGTAGGTCACGTGCAATGTCGGGATGCAGCATGCTTTAATTCCAAACCGATATGTGTGATCGTTAAGCGATGGGCTTATCGTGATGTATGCGTGTTTCTAAATGTGGCAAGTTTCGTCTGAATCTGATCAGCACTCAGCAAACTCATTCTCCCAAACCTTCCTGATGAAATTGATTTTTCGCTCGATCGTTCGAGGAGAATACCCAAGCTTTTTTGACATCTCTGGTACTGTATGCAACTCCATTTTAAGGCAGGCAATTTTTCTGTAGGAGTCATCTGGGAGTTTAGCCAGCATGTGTTGAAGCTGGTCGTTCAGAATCACAATTTCTTCTGGTCCAAAGTCGTTGTCAGCGAATTCACCAGACCATGATTGCAATCCGCGCGAACCCCGTTTTTCTGCACCCTCTTTTCGGACGAGATCAATTGCCTTTTGCCGAGTCAGTGTAAACAAGACTCTCCACAGGTCCTCACGATTATCGAGTTGAGGCCAGCGTCCCTTGCCTACACCTTGGCAGAGGCAGTCAAATACCTCGAGCGCGATATCTTCCGAGTTCTCATTTTGATGAGGATTACCACCGAGTTTCCTGTTGGCAAATGCTCTTAGTTTATCAAAGCACCTTTCCCATAATTCTCGAATCGCTTGCGGGTCGTTATTTTTGAGCCCGGCTAGTTCTCGCGTCATCGACCCGCGTTCTGGTTGAGATTTTTCCACGCCTGGCGCCCTCTAAAGCCATTTCCATTTGCACTGATTGGTAAGTCTTCAATGAAATAGTCGAAAAGGAGGTAAATGCAATGACCGATTTACGTATTTGCCGTTGCGAAAATTCATCACGAATCCCATTCATCATGATACCGCATTCAGCAGCGGACTCCCGCCACCCTTTTGCACTTTTTTATTGAGATTTGGCTAACTCCCCGCCGGGAGTATTGATAGCGAGGTAGGGTGGGTGGGTGGAGTTCGTCGATCCATGTGACTGGTGGGTTGCGCAATCATTCGTGAATCAAAATCAACAGTTCTTTATCGGGTAGACCGAGAACGTAACCCACCATTTCACCAACGGATTGCTTCACGCACCCTACGGCTCTGGGGGTACAGCTTGTGACTGCTACAGCCGTCAGTGCTGAAGTGGCCAACTTCGCTCGATTCAAAACGGCAGGTTCGTTCATGGCGTACACAGGCCTGGTTCCTTCGGAGTACTCTAGTGGAAAATCTCGCAGACTCGGCGGGATTACCAAAACGGGCAATCGCCATTTACGAAGAATGCTTATCGAAGCGGCCTGGCATTACTACAAGGCGTACCCAGGAGTGAGTGCCGCTGTGAAAAGACGTCGCGAAGGTCTTCCTCCAGAGATCATCAATATCGCAGAGAAAGCCAGACTGCGTTTAAGAAAGAAGGCCCTGCGGATGCGTTCCACGAGTAAGCCCCCGAATAAGATCGTCGCCGCATTGGCACGTGAACTGGCTGGATTCTTATGGGCCGCAGCGAAAGCGACAGCGATTTAATTCTTTGCAACGATGAGACGAGAAGAAACAGTACCAAGAGAGAACAGGAAAGGTTGAACATGATGTGAAGCGGCTCTGACTTGGAACAGGGGAACCGTCGTCCCACCCAAAGAAGAGGAAACGGAGCACAGCTGGTGAAAGCTCGCTGCACGCTCGCTTGTAGACCCGACGCCAGACCCCGACGCAGACTTGATCTGTGGTAACCAACCCACGAATAATCAGAGTGATCCACCGTCGAAAACCCAACTCACCCGCTTCGCATCGCGTTCATAAACAAAAATGTAAAACAATATAAAAAAGCCCCCAAGCAACACTTGAAAGGTCCGTCCATATCAGGGTGGGTGAAGCAATCGTTGGTGATTAACCGGTGCGTTACGTTCTCGGTTTTCTAGAAATGAACTCTTTGAAAAGAAAGAAAGCTCATTGCGTAACCCACCTTTCACTTGGATTGACGAACTCCACCCACCCTACAATTGCTTGGCTAGTTCCGTCAGGTGAACTTCAACGGAATCGGCCAGCGCCTGATGGTGGTAGCCCCCTTCGAGCAGGCTGACGAGACGGCCCTGGCATTCGCTGTCGGCCACGTCCATGACCAACTGAGTGAGCGTCTTGTAGTCTTCCGTTTCCAGTCCCAGCGAACCGATGGGATCGAGTCGATGTGCGTCGAATCCGGCACTGATCAGAATCAACTCTGGCTTTGAGACGGAGACAGCCTTCGTCAGTTTTCGTTCAAACCTTTCGAAGAACTCTTTTCGAGACGTTCCAAAGGAAACAGGTTCATTAAACGTATAGCCAAGCCCTTTGCCGCGCCCTGTTTCGTCTTCAGCTCCCGAGCCAGGATAGAAGGGATAACGATGGATGGAAAAGAAGGTGACTGACTCATCGTCGTAAAAGATGTCCTGCGTTCCATTCCCATGATGCACATCCCAATCGATGATCAGGATGCGAGAGAGGTCACAATCCTGTTGTGCATACCGGGCTGCAATAGCCACGTTGTTGAACAGGCAGAAGCCCATTGCGTGGTCAGGCACAGCGTGATGCCCAGGCGGGCGAATGAGACATAGTGCGTTCCGCATGTCACCTGATGTGACGAGTTTCACAGCGGAACATGAGGTTCCAGCTGCAGCGAGTGCAACTTCGTATGACTTTGGGCTGACGACCGTATCCGCATCGAGTCGACCACCTCCCGCTTTGGCGACCTGTTCGACGTTCTGAATGTGATCGATGGGATGGACTTCCTTGAGCCATTGCAGCTGAGCGGCAGTTAATTCTCCCCAATTGACTTCCTTATTCCCTTCGAACTTCTTCAGCATCTGCCGCAGCACTTCGATCCTGCGCGGGTTTTCTGGATGCTGACCGGTCTGGTGAGCTTCGAAGAGTTCAGCTGTGA